TTTTTTAGGTTGGCAGCTAAGATTTATTATAAGCACATGTGGTCATTGTGCCAGCTCCTGACTGGCTCCTGGGTGAGGTAGGAATTTGGAAATATTAAACATGGAGGTCTTGCTGACCACATAGTCCAGGAATGTCTTTGTCTGAAGCCCACGCAAAATCCTTAGTGACGACATACTCTGGGAAGGCCTTTGTCTAGGGCCCACTGCCACAAGTGAATCTCATATGAAGGCGCAGAGAGGCATGGGAGGGGTAGTTTGCAACCTGCCTCCACCTCTTAAGGATCATCTCACAGTACAATACGAGATATTACTGAAAGGAGTGGGTGTACATGTGCTCAACCTGGATGCACAAAAACCTAAAAAACCAGAGCATGACCGATCTAGAAAATTCAGCTAACGCACCTGTCAGCTCCCTGGGGTGAGTCACCTGCTGTGCAGGTTGCCTGTGCTGCAGCTCAGCTCCTTGGTGACTGAGGTCCTGGTTATCCTGCTGCTTTGTGTAAGGACAGATGGCATCTTCATGCATTCTCACACCCCTGATCGCTGTGGATGCTCTGTCATTGCTGTCTGCAGGGAACTGTGACCTCTGTCTCACACAGAATATGACTCTCCCTGTGTTCTCTTACTTTGAGAAGCCTAAGATGAATTTTGAGCAAGAAAAGAGATTATAAAAAGTGAGCATGCCTGGTGATATTCACACACTTCTAAGTAAAATAATAGATTAAAATAATGTGGGGTTTTTAGCCCTGGAGTGGATACTTAATCTTCCAGTCGAAACCTCTTCATTTTATGATTATTATGATTATGAGGACATTTAAACCCTGGAGGGATTAAGTTGGGAGTGAAGCCCAGATGGCTTGATTTGATTACTCTTCACACTGTACCATGCCGCCTTCCTTCCTAGTCAAAGGTATTGGAAAATAGTTTTGCATCATTTGCCTAATACACTGTTTATATTCTGGCTGAGATAGTTCTCCAGAGAGGGAATCAATTTACAACTAAGTTGTGAAGACCAGTTTTCTGAAAAAATGAAAAACAACTTTTAGTTAATCGTATGAGTAAAAAGGTTCTACACTGACCACAAATAAAGCCTAAAAAAAAAAAAGAATTTTTTTTCTCTATATAATAGTATATATGTGTCATATCTACATAAAGTAGTAGTACTGTTACCCAAGAAGGTGACTTCAGTTTTCACGTGTTTTTCAATAAAGAATTGTGGGGCTGGCCGAGTGGCGCATTGGCTAAGAGTTAGCTTGGGATGCCAGCTCTGAGCAGCAGGGCCCCGGTTCAGATCCCACATGTGGGCCAGTGATGCTGCGCCCTCTACAGCTAAGATGGTGAACAACAGCTTGACCTGGAGCTGGGCTGCCATGAGTCACCAGCGACATCATAGGCTACAGTGGAGGTGCAGTGGGCTCCCGTAAGCTACTGTGAGCAGCCAGCAGCCTGCGTGAGCTGCCAAGAGCCACTGTGAGTGGCTGTCCAGGGCTTGGCGA